CCCCCCCGTTATGCCAAAACGAAGTTCCAAAAAAGAAAGCTTGAAATAGCGTGTAGTGAATGTGTACTACTAGATGCACATGCGCAATTCATATCTTTGACGTCAGACAATATGCACAATATAAGTCTGTATAAATACACACCCTAGTATATTCATGACCAGAAAGATGTATTGAGTGAGCTACATGTTGTATATATAAGTGTATATGTTGCTATAATTTCTTTCTTGGACTTTGGGTCGAAATATATTATTCACTTATTTATAGATTGAAAAGGTCTCAATCTGTCGTCATGAATTAGTGGTAAATTGTTTTCAATAAGTGAGTGTGATCTTAATATGGATATTTGTTCGTTCTTTATGTTCTTAATTTATCATACATTTATCTGAGTGTCATATCAGGATCTGTCGTACTAAATAAGTAGTGTTATTGTTTTAAATAAGTGGATGTATCTTCATTATTATATAATGACATTTTTACTATACAATGTTATTGTATCAGTTTTTATTTTCGGTTTATCAATAATTTATCATTATTCAACATCGTGAACCATATATCACCCAGTCATATGAACACATTCAATAATCGCAGTATCTTCTTGGGAAAATCATTCCAAAAATTATGTTACTATGACAACTAAGTCCATGTCTCCACTAAAAGCTAATTCACTGTTCCCTTTGTTCATGGCAATCCCTGAGTTCTCTTGTTCAGCGTCAGACAAACAGTACAGTATATAGTTGACAGGCGGTAGACGCGTGGAGCCTAGTCGGAAAGCATGATTGATGCGGTATTACAATGCTGATTTAATGCTGGTATGGACTGTGGGTAGTAGTTGATATGGTGGACACTTACTGTGTACTGATCATTTAGTGTTGGCGATGGGGGAAATGAACCAGTCCATGCCCAAACTTTGACAAAGGGTGTCAACAACCCACACAATCCACATTCCGTCAACCAAATGTAGTTTTCAGATGACTTACTAACACTGTTTTGTTACAGTTTGAAAGTGGACATGAGTTATCTGGAAGAATAACACGCTTTTACAGAGCAATTGTTTTCCCGCGTTTTTATTTTTTTTTAGTTATATTTTTTGGCCTCTAGTTTTTAATGTAGTTATGTATTTCATTTTTGAGAACACGTATAACTTGTTTCTGTTATAATGTTAGATATTTAAATATGTACTTATAATGTTGTAGTTCGTACGATGACCTCAATAAAGCACGAGTGAGGTACATTCCTTTATTTTCTGTGCTGTGTACTTCATTGTATGTGATGTACAGAATAAGAGTGTGGACAAGACTGATTGCGTTCTTCTACATTTCAATTCTATTAGGATTGACACCCAAAACAGACATCTATTATTCAACTAAAATTATTTCTGAAAACACAATATATGTGAGTGTATTTTAAGTGTGGCGTGAAAATATATGCTCTGTGGAAAATACTTCTAAAACTAGGATCCCTAATGTGTTGATGAAATGTACGCTTTTGATACATTGGCCAACCTCGTATATGATTATTTTCAGAATGAATCCACTGTGGTGTGTAGGCTTTCAAATCTTTGTTTATTAGAATTTACCTTGAATTGTTGTGAAACTACCAAAGTACCACATTTCAAGTCTCAAGTATTTATAACGGTCTGTCTGTATTATATATTTATATACAACACACCACCATCATAAAAAATTTACGCAAACTTACTCAAAATGTTGATGTAAACTGATAGCCAACTATGGATAACTAGGATTTAAATATTAGAGCACATTAATGATACCCCATTTAAGAAGAAAATACGCGATATCATGAAAAACATGATAAATAGCTTTAAATAAATCGTGAGAAATTATTTGTAGCCTATATTGAGTCATCTTATACAAAGAAATTTGCAAATACATGTAAATGGACATCGCGTCTATAATATAATTGTTCGAATAAAATTTTAAAAATGTAATATTCAGTCTTCAGTTTGGTGAGTGTCAATGTAAGTCATCATACGTTACTGTGCTCACTGTCTATTTTTAATCCATTTAACAAAAATTTTACACTATGTAGAACTTCGCCAGCAGAATCAGAAAATTGTCTTAATCTTGAATCACATGGAGATTTAAAAGGTGACCAATAAATAGTTTGAATTAATGTAATTAAATGTTTTATGGAAACAAGACCGATCCAGGTGAAATGAATAATGTTTCTTAATATCTCGGATAACTACTTCAATTTTGTACGGATATATAGATGACAGTGTGCTAATAAAAACCTTTGTATTATTATTTTTTATTTCACGATAATTTTAAATTACAATTAATCAACTTGTCTTCGTGAAATAATGTTTAATACTATGTCGCTTTAGCCGACGTATATGATGAGAAGGAAATAATATAACCCATGAAGTTGAATCCTTTGGAACTCTACGTAGAATAGCACGTACTTTTGTTCCATGCCATTGATGTTCACCACATGTTAAGTTTTTGACAAATAAAATACAAATCAAATATATAACAAACTAACCTCGGCATCCACATACTCAAGTATATTGCTGAAAATTGATTTTATTCAATTTTTATTTTGTATAATGGTGTTGTTTTTATGTCCTTTGCGCAAAGTGGCAATATGCAATAATTATTAATTATGTGACCGGGTTAAAATAAAACATATTTATTACATTTCCTTCCCCATACCATGACAGTTGTGGCTATATACTTTCGCCAAGCGATTTCCAGGCCGTGACAATGGCAGAGCTGAAGAGAAGACTTATAAGATTTATCGGGAAAAAAGTTGATTTGTGGTTATAAATTCCAATCTTTCAAAAATGTAAAATGTATACTGGGCTAAATTCGCCGTAACATTTTTATCGAAGCATCACAAAATGTGAGTAAATGTTTTAGTCCTATCAACAAATATATAATTAAAAGCTTATATTTCCTATTGTTTCCATTACTTTTAATCTTATATTTCGGAAATATTGGCAAAACGAAATAGTAATTTCATCATCCCGACATTCTTTGTAGAGGTGTTTTTTTCATTTAACGAGAAATGTGAAAAAAATCCAATTTTCAGCTACAGTTTTGCATAATTGTAGCTAGTTTGTTTTCCCCATTTTATTTTTATTTAAGTAATTCTGTCAGTAGCTAACATATATAGCTCCCAGTTGTTGTTTTTATTTAAATTAACTTTCTGATATAATCTTTTGTACATTAGTATTTGTCAAACTTGAGTTCTTTTTCCTGACCATTGTCTACACCAAGACTTATTCCACTGTAAAAAGCTGCATGAATTCTACTTCTTTTTTCCATATCAAAATTGCACACCCAAACAAGTTAAATATTTCGTATAACATTCAAATGTAATGAGAAACGACCACGTTCACTCCTAGAAGAAGAAATGATGACATTTTCACCCAGAGACGGTCTACAGTTTGTATCATATCTTTTCCATAAAAACGTCATAATTTGATTTTATCCGAATTTAATGATAGCAATAATTTTGGAGAACATCAATAGATTGTTGCATGCATTTTTTAGAAGGGATGAACAAACTACAATGTCATCTGCATATATCAAAACATTAACGGGAATCTTGTGTAGAAAAGTTCTATCAGTATGTTCTCAACTAAGTTTTTCTTGGAGATCATTCATAAATAATTTAAACAAATTTAGACTGATTGGAATACTTTCTTAGTACTACAATTTGAAGTTACATTAAAATTTTCGGAGAAGGCGTGATATAGTTTAATACAAAATTCAAACTTTTGATACATGCCTTTAAGAAGTCTAATTAATAAAATACAAAGTAATTTGTATAATTTGGCAGTTAATAAATAAATCCTGGTGCCAGACCCTATCACATGCTTCTTTTTAATCAATGAAAGATATATACAGTGGCTGTGTTTTTGTTTTGTTTTTCTAATTACACCTGTTTTCATCATTCTTCGTGAGCAATTTAACAACGACTTAAAAAAACAAAATTGTGATTTAATGTCGGGCGTGATTTTCTGAAACCAGTTTATACTTTTGTCAATAATTTCATACTTATTGAGAAAAGATGTTGATCTTTTATCTAGAATAGCATAGAACAATTAACCCATCGTAATTGGATGGGTCATTACTGTCCCTTGATTTATGCATGTTTCAGGGGATCACTTGTGGTCAGAATTAGATTGTATATTTGGGGGGAAAATGAATTGAGTGTCTTTAATCTCATGATTTCTTATAAGATGAATACGCTACCAGAAAAGTTTTTTTTTTTAATGTTTTTTGTGCCCGGCGACAGTTGTAGACATTGAATGTCATTATTATCTCTCCTGACTTTTTTGTGTGTGCTGACATATAGTGCATTTTGCCACAGAAGACATTGCTGCGCGGCCATCTCTCTATCAAAGGTTCCCCCATAGTCGCATTCGTTAGTGAATGAATCTCGGTCAGTGGTATTGGCCTTCCCATTGAGTATGTGGCACACTCACCCAAGGTAGGGGTTGATTCTTTAGGTGTTCAGCCCGGGTTCAGCGTAAGGTAGTATTTGAACTTTGGTCTACCGATCATGAGTCTGATGCAACAACCACTATGCTACCAGTTCATCAGGCCTGTACTGAAAATAGTAGCTGTCAGCTCACCAATACGGGGTAGCCCCACACAAGGCCCATTACGTAATTACGTCACAATGTGCTTCGAATTGTACGCCCTTGTTCTTGAAATGTACATAAATATATTTATTCTATTGCTGTGGAATTAATATTAGTCGTCAATTTCATGAATATATTTAGTTTTGGGATAGTTCACTAGTTTATGTAACCATTTTAATTCTTCCAACTAAATGTTTATGTTTTTCAATATCGTTCTTCACGTGTCGAATGCATTTTTCTAGATCGTCGATTAAGAAAATATGTTTTAAATGTGAGTTGTATTTCAACAAATACATGTTCACCTGCGGCAAACTTCTGCCTCAAGAATTTAAATGGTCCATCCCTTGATCAGGCTGTTCAACGTGAGCTGCACCTGCGCAGTACCGAACAACATGGCTACCAACACAAAATATTAGCAGGGGCATGTGATCGTCGACATAGTTCTGAAAATATTATTTAGTTACTTTATATTTTTAATTTGTTATATTAGTTTCATATCAACAGGTAATTACATTATGGGCAGATCGGTAAGTAAACTTTTTATGTGTCTATTTGTCGAATGTTGTACCGTACCGGTGTACCATGCGCTGACTTGCCTATGTCTATGATGGCACAACTGATAGCAGTGCCTGTGTGTGGGGTAAAGTGCATCTGAGAAAATGTGTTGAAATTTACTGCAGATATGTACACTTCCATACAGCACAAATTTACTGCAGATATGTACACTTCCATACAGCACATGTGTTTATCAGAAATATGAGGAGAATACCGATCCCACAATAGTACTTCACACACAGTAAAACATGTTGCACATAAATCAGGCGTACCGATTGGTTTCAGCTATAAATACACCCGTGGCCATTCATGCTAGTACCAGTACCTGTTTGCATACTATCCGGCGGATTTTATGCCCGACCATAGAATTATGTTTTTCTCTGTCATTGTACATTTTTAAAGTTTTTTAAATAAAATATTTAATTAAATTTGAACATTATTCCTATAGCTACATTTAGCGTATTCGTGCTACATTTTTAAATATATTTCTATTTTAATCCAATAAATCAAATCATGGGGGAATATATTTTGCATGAATGCGATTTTTGTTTTTATCTTTAAGCTCCTTCCTTGTAAATTTATAGGACTGCTCTATTATTAATGTTTCCTCGGTTAAATCATGGTCACATGACATTCAGCATGAGTGGTTTATGTGATGTTTTTATCAAGTGACCATGAACTAAATTTTACCATGGGTTGTTGCAAAGTTGGGTCAATTTTGGCAAGTCAAATTAGTGTTGTGAATATGCGTAACTTTGTTGTCAGTTGAAATAATAATAATATTGAAATGACATACCAGGTTAGGACTTACAACCACTGAAATTCTAGAATGCCCTTTCAAGACAGCTATGGTACAAATAATTGTTTATTTTACCACTTTTTTTTTGTGGAAAATATAATACTTCAGTATTGAGATGATCATATTAAAGCGAGAGGGTCGTCACCTGCACATGCACGAGAATCAAGTTCCAAGCGACGATAACAAATTAACACACACTAAAAACACAAAGACTCATGGGTAGACGCTTGTTTGTAGACAATGACACGCTATGGCCATCTGATGCATGCGCAGATGACGACTTCTCCGCTTTAAGGTTAGAGTTTGAGAGAGTTTGACATGTACAGGAATGGTACCTCCATGTCTGCATTAGAATTAATTTTTTGAAAACTCCATTTTTAACACTACCGACAATCCGCTGTTCATAGCATTGTGTGTCATTATTTGGCTAAAAATAAAGACAGATAAGAAAAATTGAGATGCGGTCATCTAGCCTATAGAGTTATGAACATCCTGTACAATTTATCCTGTGGTATTTGTGCGACTGAAAGTGTTAAAAAAAGGCACTTACAATAGTCTTAATACTAAGTCAAAAAAGTACAATAGCGAAATTTGTCATCACATAATCCTCTCGACAAACATTATTATTATTATTATTATTAATCCTTTATTTCAGGCCAAAAAAGTCCCATATTAAATACATAACAAACACGAACACTAATAAATACAACGTCTAAGATTAGTCCAAAATTTGGACATATTCGTCTATATCTAGTACCCCGGTAGCATGCTTACTAACTTCTAAGAAAATGGCTGTATGGCAGATCAATTTTAACACATTTTACCTCTGCTGTGACCAGAGGCTTTACCTACAGCTGGTTTGAATGAGATTAACTGCAAGTCTACATTTTAACCAATATTAACGATAACATTATAATCTATATATAATTTCTTCTAATTTCAGAATCAGCAAAAAGCAAATGAAGCCAAACAAAGAGGGAACACAGAAGCCAAACGTAAACATTATTTCAATGCCATAATTCACTATACAGAATCCATAAAAATTGATCCTAACGATGCTACTGTACTTACAAATAGATCATTGTGTTTTCTTAAAATGGCGCAGCATTTCCTCGCGCTTGAAGACGCCAAGCGTGCCATAAAGCTGCAGCCTGATTGGTCAAAGGTGAGTTGTTTCAATCCATCTGTGTTATCCAGGTTGTTTTCTACAGGGAATTTTGAGTCTTGTCCAGTTTTTAAAAGCAAGTAATAGAGTTTATGATTTGCAAATAACCTAATCACTGAGTCGTGTCAGCTCGGCACAATTGTTTCAACTGATGATGGTGAATACTTCATTTTAAGTTGCACTTTGGCTCTCTAAATGTTTCGATACTTCGTTCTAATCTTTCTGTTGGAGTTTCATTCATGCAGCTAAAATGACATTAATGGGACAGTAAGAAATCAAACGGGTGGTGCATCGCGGTCATTGCCGTGGCGGAGATCGCAGTTCAACTGCATTTCATGAAAATTATGCATAGATTCCATGATACAGGCTATCCCTGGCCATGTATGGTAGGCTCACATGGCAATTCACACTTAGTCTACATTGCCACAAAGTTCCAATGAAGAATTAAATAAATTTGAACTTTGTCTGGTATGCGATACAGATAGACAGAATAAACATTAATGATACCTACCATTGTCAAATCAACCAAGAGACTCGAATCAGGAAGGCTTAGCTATTTTAAACTTTGTAAATAGCATTCTTTTATTCAAGTGTAATAAACGTAGGTGAAATGTACGGACGAGTCCTAATACTCATACCTTTGAAAGTAACGACTCTTACTCTTGAAATTGATGATAAATACATGCATAAAATACAAGCATATACCGGTACCATTTTTTCATGCAACAATTCATATACAGCATTGGATTTATGGATTTTTACATGGGGCCAATAATATTATGAGGTTATTGCGAGGATACATCAAAGTATGCATGAAGACAGTACAGCGGGAGTATATCGGTCGACTCGCAGCGGAGGTTGATGCGATGGCGTACTGTCTGAGTGCATTCTTTGGGCTATCCTCGTAATAACCTTAATATTATACATCTTTTCCTTTCAAGGATGCATCAGGTCAAACCCTGGTGGCAGCCATGTTTGTTTTTACGCGCGTAATCATTACATATTTGGAATTCTCATTTTTTTATATGGTAGGATGAAAATACCCCATGAAATAATGCAAAATTACGGCACGCTGTAACTTATGACATTACGGTGATGTATGTGTAATAATACCATATATATCCATGCCAGCGATATCGTAACCTGCTCGATTTAAAAATAGCTATTTAAAACAATTACTTGTTGAATTACAAAGAATATGTTGAGTACGTATTTCACACTTTACTGAGATGCCTGATCATAAGCAGTCCGTAGCTCTCCTCGGCAATAGCCGTGGTGAACCGCCTGTTTGATTTCCTACTCTTCCCTAATCAACTGCAATCCTTCTTGTTTGACTTACAAGTCTTGTTTTTTATTAATTCCTGTAAACTTTTCAATCTGTGCCATTTGCGCCAAATGTTAGAACCCTGCAGACAACACCTCCCAGTGGCTGGCTCTTATTTGTCTGAATCGTACATTTCCATGAATATTTATTCATATGACAACACTTAACGACATCTTTTGCAACACAAGCCATTTAAAGAGTTTAATACCACTCCACTCGTCTATTACTCGCCCAAATCAATATTTCGGAATAGCAAGTTATCATTCTCCCAATTTTAATAACATACATGTACAATGTAGCTCATCTAACCACTTACCTTATTCGCCATATGTTATTTAGTTTACTTTGATAATAATCATCTTTTTTTAGGTGACAACTTTGGGATAGGAAGCTGAGTGGAGCTTGTCAAAACTTCATTGTGTGAAAACCGCTGAAAGAGGAATAGCCTCAGAAGGGAAGACGGTTTGAGTCTCCTCTTCAAATAAAAAAAAACTCTTCTCACTACTGTAGGAAGAAGGCTTGTAGTTTTGCCTTCGTCAGTCTCGGAGATGGCTGGACTGATTTTTTTGAAACTTGGTACAAGGACACAGTGGTCAACCATACATGTGCATGTCAATTTATTTTCTGATTCGATCAAATATGGCAGCCATTTTTAATGCCAAAATTCAGTCAAATTCGGTCCTTGTGTGTTCATCATCATTTATCGGAGATGGCTTGACCGATTTTGTTGAGACATGTTACAAAGACAAAGGGACCACCCATACAGATGCATGTTGTTTACTTTTTTGAAATGGTCAAATATGGCCGACTGGCAGCCATTTTGATTGTTAATGTGGCTTTTGTCTGTCCATTGATATTTCTAAGAGATGCCTTGACTGATTTCAATGATACTCGGTACAAAGACACAGTGAGGAGGTATACATACCTATTCACATGGATTTATTTCCTGATTTGATCAAATATGGCTGCCTGGCAGCCATTTTGAATGTCAAAATCCTGTAAAATCCAGTTTTTTGGGTGTGTCCATCATCATTTTTTTGAGATTCCTGGGCCGATTTTGCTGAGACTTGGTCGGTAGCATCTGTTTTGAGGTTATCAAGTGAATGTAAAATGGACAACACAGTGTTGCTTTGTGTGATGGTTCAAATCATATCTCAGTCATGTTTTTATGTTTGCTTTACTCATTTTCTCATCACTCTCCAAAAATAATTTTAATGTACATATGTTTGTTTTTAGGGTTATTATCGAAAAGGTCAAGTTTATTACAGTGCAGATAAATTTGATGAATGTATTGAAGCGTATCAGGTATGCATAGATTCAATCTATTAGAGTACAATTTCAAACAAAATGGTCACCAATCAGCCATTTTGTATTTATTTATACCAAAAGGGTATTCTACCACATACATTACATGTGTGTGCTTCATTTTTCTGTATTTTTTCATTCACATGAAGAAACATGAAAAACAACATTTTTTTGCATAAAATCACTATGGCAACTGGATGCATACTAGAAGATTTCAATCATTTTGCAGTTAACGATTACTTTGTGCTTATAATCATATAATTTCCTTCATTGTGCAGATTTCAATCCTCGTTAGGGCAAAGTCTGAAAACAGGGATTTACATATGTATGTATGTATTCAGCAATGTGTCTGTGCGTCCACACCTATATCTCATGCTTAGACCAATCATGTTTAAATTTCACAAATACATGTATGCACATTTCAATGAAACTTCGTGCATAGATAGTCTGTGACAGTACTTATCTTAATTCAGTGAATCTTGGTATGTACTCCAACACAATATGATGATCAAATTAGTTTTAGGTTTATGTACATCTATAATAAATGAATAATGAATTCATCACAGAGGTTCTCTGGAACTAATTAGAGAAAAAACCATGGATCAAATGTATTTTTTGTATGTATTTGGATAATGTGAATCACATTTTTTTTCATGTTATGCATCTCAAATAGCTGACAAAAATTAGTTGCCAAGCTTCTTGTTTGAAAATTTTAAATTAATTTTAATATGTCTCCAACACTCAGTACATGGGAGTTCTTTCTAAGCTTTCTTTGATTTTTTCTTACAGTTGGGGCTTGAAAAATGTCCAGAAGATGAAACACTAAAACTAGCATTAGAAAAAGCACAGGAAAAGCAAAAAGAAAAAGACGACAGTAAGTAATCGATTCTGTTTTTACCAGTAGTTCCTGCATTTCGTATGCAGTTCAAAAACAGGGACCCAGATCTTGGTTATACAAGGACAACTATTGTCCATCTTAGTACATACATTGTCAAACCGGACATAATTTTTTTTTTTCTAGTTTTGATTCAAATAGAATGGCCAAATGCAATCAAACTTTACAACTAGCTTATACGGCATCCGTTTCAGTTTTGTTGACTATTGAACCAACAAGGACATTTTTGTTTTGTGGCACAAAAAAAATCCCAAAAGTGCTGAAGAATCACCCATGGTATATCTATTTCATGTCTCTGATACACTCAGTCGCAGGCATTGTTTGATACTTATTTATACTCATAGCCAATCCCATACTTATTGGAAGTGAATGATATGTTCAAGGTAAAGGATTTTTGTAAATAACAAAATGTATGTCATGACGGTTGCTGTTTATATTTCAGGAGAAAACTGGTACACAAGCGTAGGAATGAAAATTGGGTTAGTTTGCGGTATTTTACTCGTAGTATGCGATGAATGGTTGTCTTCCATTCCTGCTTTACCTGTGAGTAAAACTGGTTGGTAATTTTTCAGCAATGAATTGCCTATGGTATCTCTGTAAATCCATATCATTAGTATCTCTCTGTAGCTCAAGCCTTGTTGATGAGAAAGTCTTGCCATCAGTTATAAACTATACACTGTAAAATCTGTATTATCGTAAAAATCATATTTGAGGCCACAGCTTTAATAGAAGCTGCACCCCTAACTTGAGACATTGTTTCATGTTGAAATTGACAAGTTTTGATCCCAGGAAAAAGCCTGCAATATAAGCCGCACCCCAACTTTCACAAACCAAACAGCCACCAAATATTTCAGAAGAAGATATACCATTTAATTTTAAATTAAGGCATAATTTTTTGAACATTTCAATCTTTCCTGCGCCTAGATTAGAGTCCAATTTAGGTTTTCCGTAGTCATTGACGCTTATTCAAGAGTACAGTGTTTATTGTGGGTAGCGTGAATGAGTAAACTGGCCTTCGACAATGAGCTGTTATTATCGTCAAAAGTGTTAAATTCTTCTTCAATGCTCAGCTTATCTTTCAAAAAGAACTAATTTCTTGATTTAAAAAAAAATCATGCCGTTTTCCCATCAAAATCAAACGATCAGACTACAACAACGGTAAATCTCTTCCGTGTTCCGTTTATCGTGTTGCTGAACTACCAATAACATATTAAAATGAGCTATGGTAATTTAAACACGTTGGCACCATCCAGCGTTCCGATTGGTTAATTAGCGACTTGACCTGTCAGGTCAAAAAACAGTTTCAAGTCACTAAGGATGTTTGAACAAACATGGCAAATATCGTATCGAATCGATTGTTCACATGTGATCGAAATCATTCGCTTGCGATAAAACTAAGTTGAATTTTCACAACAATTCAACGAATTTATTTTTTGTACATTATTGTAATCACTACTGAGTAATAATCATCAATAATCAACACTTCGAAAACAAATAAGTTATTCATTTGTGTGAAATGCAGCTTGACCGGCTGGATTGCGGTGATACCATTACTGTGATCATTTACTACTAAGAATGCATTCGTTTTTACTTCTTTTAAAATATACTTTTCGTTATCCAAAAAAACATAAGAAAATAAATACATATTACATTAAATATACCGAGTATTTTTTTTTTATCATGTGAACATTTTTTTTTCGATTGACTGTAATTTCCCCAATGTCTAAATTAGAACATGGAAGGTACAGTCACTCTGCCGGAAGTCGAACATGCCAGTAGTCGAACGCAATCGACTGTCAGACGACTGTCTCTCAGTTGTGACCTATACCAGTGCTAATGAATTAGAGTGACGTCTATTCAAGAGATTATAGTACCGTACTCGACCGCGTTAGCGCCCAGGGGCCTCAACTCAGAAAATCACGATTTTTTAGGGGTGGGCGCTTATCCGAGCACCCCCCTCGAAAAAGAGTGCAAATGAAAAATTTGATTCATCAAGTGACAGATTACGTCTTTGAGGGAAATCAAATTACGAAATTAGTTGAGTTGTCATTGATTTTCACAACGAAGAAACAGAAATGATCACAAAAAATATGCACATTTTATTACAATATTAATTACGTACCACCAGAATTTACGAAATTAAAAACATTTGAGTCTGTTGGAACACAGTCGAAGTCAAAATTATTTCCACTGACGAAGATGTTGGATCGTACGCAAACTCTCGAACAAAATCACTTTCCGCCATGATGCATTTGCAGATTTCACCTGCAGCGGCGTCCTTTGACCTAATGGGTCAAGTTGGTTATTAACCAATCACAATGCTGTGTTGTACTGACAAAATTCTTCGGAAATTCCCGAAGACTTTCCGATAACACAATGCGGAAGTGAATTATCGATGTCGTAGTACGATCTGTTGGAATTGATTTCAGCGAATAAACGACATGGTTTTTTTCAAAAAACTAGTAACTAGCCATTTTTGAGAGGTAAACTGAATATGGCATGAAATATTTACTGCATTTTACTTGTATTAACAGGTCATTGTCGAAGCGTAGTTTACGCACGGTTCACAACATGTTCACAGCGGTCAACATCCACGCTGTATCATATAAAAACGATTACCAAGATTCGTTACGCAAGACCAAGTTTTAAATTAGTTGCATTGTGAAAGGGTGGACGCTTTGCCGAATGTGACCCCAAATATAAAAATTGCGCAAAAGGGGGGGGGGCGCTTGCCCGGGCATGGGCGCTAACGCGGTCGAGTACGGTAAATACAACAATCTTTAGTTTTTTGGGCTAGAATGTACAAACTTGAAACAATACCTTACCTTTCAATTTCTGCTTCAATTGCTGCAATATCCACATCAACATTACTACCACCTGATGCTATGTATTTATTGTAAAAATCTGTCTGATGTTCCTTAGAAAACAGCGGTTCAATATTCCATGGACTGCTTTGATGAGATTGAAAGAGAAAATGTAAAATTAGAGCACTAAAAATGCAAAATGATTGATTTTATCAATTTCTTGTATGGGAAAAACAACATTAATATTGATGCGTTCAATGTCATCGACTTCACATTTGAACACTTTCCTTTGTATAATCGGGCAAAGCACACGTCGAGATAGAATCTCGTCACTGACGCAAACATCTGCATAAAACATTTTCAGTGCCATCTGAGCTATAATCTCATCAAATTAAATTTAATGCATCTCTGGAAATACAGAGCAGCTTATTCATTACAAGGTACAATCAAGTATATACATGTCCAGGGGTTTTTCTAGAAAAAAACTGCAAGAGGGAGCACTGCAATTCAGCTGGGGGGGAGATAGGGTTCTCCCTACCAGAGTGTGGAGTTTTTGATAAGTTAAAATGGAGCATTCTATGGCTTCCTTGGGGCCAAAATTACTATTAGACAGGTCACAGTCGAAGACTGGCCACATGTGATCCCTAGTGAATCAAGATCTGCTCTCCAAGGTAAGGATATAAACCAGAATATATCCGCGATTCAATTTTGATGTTAATTTACAAGTTTGAAGCGATGTCAGTGATTTCCGCGTAAAAGCTACGGGAAAGCATGATTCAGATAGCCGTTTTGACTGTTCAAAATGACTGTCAGTCATGGATTTATGCAAAGTGTTAATCCCGGGTTCTTTGCGATATCATGGAGCTAATAAGAAATGATATGCTGTGAGCTGTTTGTCCGATCACTTCAGGGGTGTCGTCGGAGCTCCATGAAGCGGTCTGGCCCGAGCGCGGATGCAGGCACGAGCTGAGTTGTGAATGAAAGGAGGGCTGAGCGTAAACATTCCAATATCTTTCTTAGTGTACGTGTGCAAAAAAAAAAGGCGTTCATGGTTACAGGGCTTGTAAACTTTCTGAATTCTTATTTTTTCAGCAGAAACAGAAGTGAACTAGGTCAGTTAGGAGAAGAGAAAATGGATGGTTTTCACCCCATTGTCGATGACAATGGCCTGGCTGGTCATGATAATAGCGGTGTTCGATGGGGGGGCTTGTCAACAAATATTCCCCGACAATATGCTTTGAATATGTGCACGTTTCTCAAATTTAATATATGACGTTCAACAATTTTAAAAGTACAAATGTGTCTCAAAATAAATAAATTGAAAGATCTTGCAAAAAATGTTATGTTCCCTGAACTATATCCCTGCAATGTAATGAATGTTGGCCGACCAATAAAGGTACGAGTTTCCGTGTTGTGTAACATACAAGTCCCACATATATTAGTGTAGATTTGGTGTCAGGCAACTGGGTATGCCTGTGCCACACAGCCGTATTACAATTTTTTTTTTAAATTTGTTGGAGCCATTTTTTTTTACGTTTCATATCATTATTGCCTAGCCAACAAGACACGTTATGACACATGTACTATGCGATACTATACATTGG